CATATACATATATATACATATATATATATATACATATATATATATATGTACATATATATGTATACACACATATATATATATATATGTACAACAGTACATGAACATAAATCCCCAACCCCCTCAACCCACCATACCCACTGTATACCCTCGAATGAAACGACTCCCGAAACCGAATTCTCCCCCCCACCCCAATTCCGCAGGCAAACCTAAACCCTAAACCCTAAATCCTAAACCCTAAACGCTAAACCTGCCTTCTCGGGGCTCGTCGGCGATGGCACTGCCGCGTGCACCACTAACGTCAGCTCCTGCCCCTGGCGTCCGGCATTCTGGGGTTTAGGGTTTAGGGTTTAGGGTTCAGGAAAAGCGACCCAGCACCCGGTCAGCCCGAAAAACTCCCATCCAAAGCGGCTTTTTGAGAGCAGCTTCGGGGAGCTGATGGCTTGGGAGGCCTGCTAGCTCAGCACCACAGGTCGGGGTTGATCGAACTTGTTTCTTTAACTGTTTGGGGGGGAGGAAGGAAGCAGGGAGTTCACGATTTAGAGTACGGCCCTTAGTACAGCCCTTATAGATCAAGGGCAGTTTCCGAAAAAGGCCCAAAATTCAAGCCAACCCCCATCTTGGATGCAGTCCCCCTTGGGGCTTGCCTCGCGGAAGGTCCCGCTGGCCACAACGAAACGCCTGCCGCGTCCGCGCGAATGCCGAGATCCGCTTGCACGACAGGTGGAGTTTAGGGTTTAGGGTTTAGGGTTTAAGGTTTAGGTTTTAGGGTTTAGTTTGTTTCCCTCTTGCACAGCTGGGGGGTAAGGGTTTAAGGTTTAGGGTTTAGGGTGACTCTGATGCGAACTTGCTTTGGGGGGGGTCATGCACACAACCGCATCGAAAGAGCAGGACAAGGATGCGACCCGTCGTGGGCGGGTTCTTGGGGTTGAATAGAGAGGGTTTACTGTAGGGTTTAGGGTTCAGGGTTTAGGGTTTAGGGTTTAGGGCTTAGGATACCACTATCAGGTGTCCAACACAGGGGCCTATTTTTACGGTTCTTTGCCATCTCCCAAGCAAAACCACCCCGCAGGGCAATACTCCGAGACGAAAGACCACAATTGAAACATTCAATATTTTGGGGGGGCTGGGGGTTCTATTTGTTATACCCTACAAACGAAAAAAACATGTCGATGCGGGGATGGTATTGGCAATAATTAAGCGCCAGGAGGGGATTGTAGAGGGCTTCTGGCTAGGTCTCCGCTATGCCACCACTCCTCATCCCCCTAAGGAACCCGTCAGTGATAGGTAGGAAACTAACTACTACCAAGTTTTTATGCAACATTTTGGAACACTTTCGGGTTTTAAACTAGGCTTTATGTCAACTCTACGGAGTGCCCACGTGAAGAGTAAGAGAAATCGGCATAAACCCTAAACCCCAAACCCCAAACCCCAAACCCCAAACCCTAAACCCTAAACAGAACCGCGCGGCAGCCCCAGTCGGCGCACTTTCTACGGACCGTGGCCATTTTTTGTTCGAGGCCTGCTCTCGCTCTTTGGACGAAAAATCGCGCTCTCGCCTACTTGGAGGTTCACGGGTACTTCGAAGAAGGGCTAGAAATGCCCTAAGTAAGGTTATAATCATAGTTACCCTTCTTACAACCCTACTAAAAAAAGTGCCCACGAAGCTCCAAGTAGGCGCGCGGCATCGCGCTCGCCCGTGCTCAAAACGGCCATCATTGTTTTGGATTTCTGGGCTCCCGGAATGGGGACAGGGTTCTGGGAGTATCTAGACCCTGGAGTAACCTAGGAAAAAAAAGGGTACCCTTTTTTGGTTTTCAGGGGATTATAACGGAACCCCAACCCTAGAAAAGGAAAACAGGGCCTACTCCCGGTCCTAGGTATTATAGTCTAACTACAGAGGGACCATAAGGGAATACTATTTAGTCATCATTCCGACCCTTATGTTACTTGCCGTCGCCTTTGCACTTCTGGGCTCTCATGGTCTCTCCACTGTGGCTTAGGGCTTAGGAGTGCTTAGGGTTTCGGGTTCAGGGTTTAGGGATTAGGCTTAGGCTTATTGTGCTTGGGGTTATTCGGCGCATGAGCGGGTTTGAGACCTCAAACCCTACGACTATGAATGTTGACATGGCGCACCTGAGCGTAGTGGAGCGGCGAGAAGACTCGAAGATCAGGAGGTCGCCATCCTGTAGGGGCCTTAATTATTAGAATGGGGTTTTGCAAGGGCTATTCTTGTATAGTTCGACAGGGACCCTAAGGGAGTGCTAGTAGTAATTATTCCGACCCCTGTATTACTTTCGTGGTCGAGCTCGTACCTTAGGAGCCCCACATGCAGTGAGAGTCTCCTCAAGGCCGAAGAGTAAGTGTACCCCGATTAAGCCGCGAACATGCTGTGGCGCACCTCACTCTGACCCTATACCCCCGAAGGGTTCCTGCAACTTAGTTGCTCCGAACATGGCACCTGTCTTCCCTTGATCTGCATAAAGGGCTCAAGGTAGTCCCGTCGACACTTCTGCCTAGCCGCACCCTTCAAAACTTAGTAAAAACAACATTAGTTGGGATGTTCCCCCCTATACTAGCAAGGCCGGGACTGTTAGTATACATCACAAAACATTAGTATAGAAAAGGGGCTTGGGTGGCTGGGGGCTTGAGTGCAACAGTTCCTCTTCTAGGTTCTTGGGTTCGACCACTCTCGTGTTTGCCAGCTTTTGATTGGGCGCCATAAGGGCGGAGGTCCCATGCTTGCTATGATTTACTTGGAGGTTCGAAATTCCTTATAAGTAGGCAATAAGTAGGGCAACTGTGGTTATGCAAAAAACCCTACATACAGTATCCATGAACCTCCAAGTAGGGTTTGGGGTATTAGTCTGCGAAACATGGGAAGAAGGATGATGAAGAAGGCCGCATGTAAGAGAACCAAACTTCCAGAACACAGAAGAATAAGGCGTCCCCCTATAGAGGTTCTCCCCAGTCCTACCGTACCTAGGCCCCCCCCCTTTTTGTGCCACTGGACCCTAGACTTGGGATGTTTCCCTTTATAAGGACTAATAACGGGGTACTATCATCCCTATTAAGGTTTAGGGTTTAGGGTTTAGGGTGTAGAGTGTAGGGTTTAGGGTTTAGGGTTCAGAACATCCATACCCTAAACCCTAAACCGTCGCAGCTCCTTTGCCGGAACGATCTCGTACCAACGGTCATTAGGCCGCGGTTCCACGGAGTCGGAGGCCTCTTCCTTCAGTGTCTAGACTACTATTTGCTTAAGAAAAGAAAAAATCTATCAAAAAAAATAATAATACCTACATTGCCCTTACGCAGAAGAAGACGATTTTTGACTTGGGAGCTTCTTGAGCAAATACTAGTAGGGCGTGGGAAAACCCCGTGAAACATAAATCCTGCCGTGCTAGATACGGAGGCTTTTCCCTTAAAAACTGTGGGGTGTCCGCTTTTGGTGTTCTTATACTGAGGTTCATGTGGGTGGTTGTCCAAATTATGGTCCCTTATTGGATCCCTATTTTCATGCGGCACCGAATATCTAGGGTACCCCAAAAGGGATCATAATTTTGACAACCACCCATGTATGTTCGGAGCACCCCCTACTGTATTTTGGCGGGCAACTAAGCCTACACAAGGTCTGGGGCAGCACGAGCCTTCTGCATCATGATAGCTGGGGTTTACGTTTAGGGTTTAGGGTTAAGGGTTAAGGGATAAGGGTTTAGGGTTGAAATGGGGGCCACCCGCCTAGCTGACACTTAGGCCAGAGGGTTTAGGTTCAGCCCGCTTTCAGCCCTAAACCCTAAACCCTACACCCTAAACCTGAACCCTCCACATAGGGCTCAGGACTCTTTGATCGGGGCGTGCGGCGGGCCGTGTTGTTGCAGACTTTGATGGCTTCACAGGCTCTCCTCTATACCTGTTGAGCTGCTCAAAACTAAACCCTAAACCCTAAACCCTAAACCCTAAACCCTAAACCCTAAACTACTTCCCCTTCTTCAGCCCCAACTGCCCCTAACTCCTACCATCAGCCGAGGCACCTCGAGAGCCAGCTCCCAGAACAAGCAGCCCACGCTGGGCGCGTTCATGGCTCGGAGGGCTTAGCGGGTTTAGGGTTTAGGGCTAGGGTTTAGGGTTTAGGGTTTAGGGCTAGGGTTTAGGGTTGAGGGATTAGGGCTTTTAGGGCTTTTAGGGCTTTTAGGGCTTTTAGGGCTTTTAGGGCTTTTAGGGCTTTTAGGGCTTTTAGGGCTTTTAGGGCTTTTAGGGCTTTTAGGGCTTTCAGGGCTTAGGGTTTAGGGTTTGGGGTTTAGGGCTTGGGGTTTGGGGCTGAGGCAGCTCTACGGTTGAGGACAACCCGAGAACCGCCAGTATACACTTCCTGGACTCTGCATACACTTCCTAAACCCTAAACCCTAAACCCTGAACCCTAAACCCTAAACCCTAAACTCAACCTGGAGCGGCTGCAGTTTGCTCAGGGTTTAGGGTTTGAGGTGTAGAGTTTAGGTTTTAGGTTTTAGGGTTTGAGGTTTGGGGTTTAGGGATTTTTCCGGAGGCTTACTCTGGCCCAATGCCAGACACTCTCAGTGCCGACCGCATCACGAGTTCGGGGTTTTGGGTTTCGGGGTTGTGGTTTTAAAGTGTCCGGGACAGCACATGATAACCCTGCAAAGAAGCAAGCTTGAGATTGTTCTCGGCGAGCGACCACCCGCTGGAATGTGCATCACAGCAGCTGAAATCTATTCTGATTTAGGGTTTAGGGTTTATGGCTTAGGGTTCAGGGTTTAGGGTTTAAGGCTCCTGCAAGCCTCTGTTCTCTGCATCCCGCCGGATTGAACCCATGTGCTCAGCCCCGAATCATACATGCAGGGCCTGCATTGCCAACACGCATGTTGACGTGCTTCAACCCCTTTGTGCAAGAAACCGGCTCCCAAAACCCTAAACCCTAAATCCTAAACCCTAAACCCCAAACCCTAGACCCTAAACCTGGTAGTGTGAGAGTCGAAACGCTCCGCCTGTCCAAGAACTCTGCCAGGTCCCCTCCGTTCGCACGGAGTGAGACGACAAAGAGATACTCTGAGTCCTCCAGCACATCCTCAAAGTCCACACAGGGTTTAGGGTTTAGGGTTTTTTTTTTTAGGGTTTAGGGTTTAGGGTTTAGGGTTTACGGGATTTCAGGGCTTCAGCTCCCCCAAGCCAGAATCCCTGAACCCTTTTGAACCCGAAGAGCCCAAACCCTTCTAATTCCGCAGAGGAGGAGTGAAGCCCAGAGCCCCCCGCGAGAGGCCCAACCTCCGTATCACTCTCCATGGGTCAGATGGGCACAAATCGGGTGTACCAAGTCTAGGACAGTCATGGACAGTTCGGGCTTAAGGAATTGAAGTTGGTGATTTAAGGACTGAGTCCTTCCGAACTTCATCGTCCCGAAGAGGCTTTCACAAAACCCTCAGGTGCCGAACTCCGGCGCTCCCAGGAACTGCGTCGGAGCTGCAGTCACTGAGGAGAGCATCGGGTGCTGCAGTGCTTTCCTGGGCACATGGTCTTGGGTTTAGGGTTTAGGGTTGTGTTTAGGGTTTAGGGTTTAGGGTTTAGAGTTTAGGGTCTAGGGTTAAGGGCATCTTCGGGGAGCTGTTTGTTTGCCACCCCGCTCGGCTGGCATGCCCCGTACTGTATGCACGGAGGGACCCCTTGAAAGGACCCTTAAACTTCTTAAGCCCGACGTATACCTCATAGCGTCCCAGTGTTCCTCACAAGCAGATACCTTATCCCTAACGTCCCTTACAAGCTACGTCTACCGCATAGGGTCCCAATGTTCCGAACTCGCCCCTACCGCATCCTTAGGGGTCCCTCCTTTGGTCCCTTGAGTTCAGGGTGTGTGTTGACACCTGACAGAGCTTCGATCCCGAAACCCTCGACGATGTCTCCTGATTGATTAATCTTGCTAAGAACCCGAGGGTTGTTATTTGCCCCCATCTCCTCCGACAGGCGGCAGCTTCGTCAGCTCGCGCGAAGCTGCCCAGACATTGGTGAGCCGCGGCTTGAAGATGGAGCGACACCTTAAATATCCCTTAAGGAATAGACCTTGATTCATATTAAGGATCCCTGTATAACTTCAGTTACATTATATTCCGTACTCCCTTGTTACTTGGAGGTTCATGGTACTCATTAACCAATTATGAATGTACTTATAACTGTACTTATAAACCATACTAGGGCACTTCAGGGGCTTTTAGTGGGTTGTAAGTATAGTTATAATTGGTTAATAAGTACCATGCTCCAAGTAGGACACCGGATGCCTCTTCGGGGGATTAAGGGCTTACGGGGGCTCATGAAGCTTTGACTCTTACCCTGGTAGGAGACAAGTTGCGGCTCCTCGTGTACCCCAAGGAAAACGATTCTGCAATTGAGGGTTCAGGTAGGTGAAGTCTTCAGGCCTCTCGGCTTGAGGATGCAGGCTGCAGTGGCTCCTCAACGGCCCAGGCCCCTGGGATTTTTTTACGTCTGAAACACCATAAGGACCCCTTTTGGTAACGAAGCAGGGCTCAGTTTGGCTTCAAGAACGGACGACGTACCTCCCCCCTCCCTTCCCCCTCCCCGCCATCCCCGAGTCTGCTATGGGAATTTCCGTGGGTTTAGGGTGTAGGGTTTAGGGTTTAGGGTTTAGGGTTTTGGGTTTGGGTCCCGAATATGCCCAGTACTGAAATCCTGATGATCGGAACCTCCAGGAGGTGGACACGATTCTCGCGATCTCTGTTGCGAGGGGGTGAGGGCTATCCTTTTGTTCCCTAAGCCCTTTTTTGAGGAGGGACTGTAGTGCGATTTGCCCATAGGCGCCCGGCGAATCCTCTGTTCCCGAAGCCCTCAACCCTAAATCCGAAACCCAAGCCGTAAGCCGCAAGCTCTTGTGGCGATCTGGGGCCCACCACGTCTTGAGTACCCCGGACCGTCGATCCTGTGACAGTGTGTCGTTGTCGGGTTCCGGACAAAGATGAGCTCGCTGAGGGTTTAGGGTTTAGGGTTTAGGGTTTCGGGTTTAGGGTTTAGGGTTTAGGAACCCTGAACCCTGAACTCTAAACCCTCACAGGGCTTCATTCTGAGTCTAGGCTCCAAAGATATCTAAGACCTTCTGGGACCTCATTCGGAATACAACGGGTCGGCTAGACTTTCCCTGAATTAAGGAGTTTTCCTCAAATCAGATGAAGGATCCCTATAGATTTTAAGGTATATACCTTAATTAAGGGGTATTAAAGGGCTCCCTGGGTTCGGGCACCATGAGTCCTTGAGGACCTGCACCGAGCCCATGGGCCATACTCCGACGTCGTACTCGAAGGTGAAGTGCTGCTCCCTCAGATGCCCTACTTGGAGGTTCATGGGTACTAAAAAACGTGCAGGTGCATAACGTGCGGTGGCCACTCGGGTCCCCAAACCCCTGATTCCCAACGCAACCCTCGGCCAAAAGACCCTGCAGCAAACTCTCTCATCTAAGTCCCAAAGAGCCCAAAAAGAGCCCCGAACATCCTCTTCTTTCGAGCCCGAGCCCCCTGTAGACAAACCCTAAACTCCAAACCCTAAACCCTAGCCCTAAACCCCAAACCCTAAACCCTAGACTCTAAACCCTAAACCGTAAACCCTAAACCCTAAACCCCAAACCCTAAACTCCACACCCTAACCCTAAACCCGAAACCCTAAACTTTCAAGGGGTTTCGTAGCTTTTCGGGCTGGGTCGAGAGGTCCACGCGCAGCGTCTGCCACTTTGGGATGTCGGATATACCCGGATTCCTCCCTGATGTCATCTGAGGTATATGGGTTGTTCTCTAAGTTAGGGTGTCCTTTTCCTAAGGATGCCGAACTTTTTTTCGGGACCCAAAAAGGGGACCCTACTTTGGAGAGCTACGCATATTCCTTATCTAAGTTCCCTGGGTGTTTGTCTCAGCATGAGCCGAACAGCAGCACGAAGCTTCGAACCCCCACAGCCAGCGTCGTGGGTGGCGTCGGCATGGGGCCGGCCTCACGACTGGCTTTGGCACCTTCACCCGCACGAAGCCGGTTTAGGGTTTAGGGTTTAGGGTTTAGGGTTTAGGGTTTAGGGTTTAGGGTTTTGGGTTTAGGGTTTAGGGTTTACTCACAACGAACTCAAGTCAAGAGTTTCCGACACCTACGCGTACAACGCCCGAAGGTACACAGCCCACGCAGGAACTTGCATGCGTGTAGGCGCAAGACCCGAAGACAGTCTCATACTTCAGGAACGCCCCCCTTACTTCTGCTACGAAGACTGGGAACCGTGAGGTCTAGTAGCACTCTGCAGATGATTGAACCCGAGCAGCAGATGCCGAATCCCAAACAGTTTCCGAGCTCGTGTATAACGTTCCCATCACTAGATCCCTAAATCCTTCAGCAAATGCCCTAAACCCTCAACCCTAATCTTAAGTTCTGCATCCCGCCTTTGCTGGCCTAGAGGTGCCCACGACCCTCGAAGCGCAGCGCACGCAGGCTAGCCCATGATGGGGTGCTGCAGGACCCCTGTGGAGGGCCTAGCGGACGCTTATGGGGGTTTGGGGCGTGTGTTTTTTTTTGGGTCTAGGGTCTAGGGTCTGGGGTCTGGGGTCTGGGGTCTAGGGTCTAGGGTTTAGGGTTTAGGGTTTAGGGTGTAGGGTTTAGGGTTTAAGGTTTAGGGTCATTACTTCAAGCTGTTGGTAGTTGGGTCTTATCCCCGGAATCTGGCTTCTGCCGGCTGCGGGTGTCCATGTGCGGCACGCCATCTTCCACGGCCGTCCAGCTGGAGCCATACGGGGAGCGACGGACCCGGCGGGGAAAGCAAACATCGGATCGTGGGTTTAGGGTTTAGGGTTTAGGGGTTAGGGTTTAGGATGCCCACCGTAGCTGGCAGGCAGGTACCCAATTCTGTCTCGACTGCTCCACTCTTCGGATGGGAGTCTCTACCGAATCGCGCTGGCCCCGATTCGTAGCTTTCCCGTTCCTGGCGATCTTGCGAACGGCAGTATCACACCTCATATTCCTCAGCCCACATACCCTAAACCCTAAACCCTAAACCCTAAACCCTAAACCCTAAACCCTAAATATGCTGAGGGTGGGTGGCTGGACGACATGAAGCTCAAGCAACCCATGGCTTAGACCATACCGACAGAGGCCCAAGCCCAGACGACATCCTTAGACGAGCATGGGAACGCAAGCCCGTAAGCAGACAGAGAAGCTCCAAACCCTAAACCCCAAACCCTAAACCCCAAAACCCTAAACCCCAAACCCCAAACCCTAAACCCTAAACCCCGAACCCAAAACCCAGCACACCAACACAGGTAAGCAGGCAGAGTGCTCGTTTTTCACACCTAAGGTTTCACCATTCCAAGAGCCGACACCATCTCCGGTGGGCTGCTACTTGGAGGCGCACGGGCAGCTCTAAGTAGGGCTTGGGGTTTAGGGTTTAGAGTTTAGGCCTTAGGGTTCGGGGTTTAGGGTTTAGGGTTTAGGGCTTAGGGTTCGGGGTTTCGGGTTTAAGGTTTAGGGTTTAGGGTTTAGGGTTTAGGCGCCCTGGATAGAGTTCTTAGTATAGATACCCGACGTATAAACCCTACTTACAACCACCCCTTGAGCCTCCAAGTAGGGTTTGATCTCTCCGGGGCATGCCCAATCATGCTGCCAGTACCTAGCAAGCACCAGTAGAGGCCTCGGGCAATCACTCAGCAAAGCTCGAGGTTCTCTGCTTGATTGGAAATACTTTAGGGTTTAGGGTTTAGGGTTTAGGGTTTAGGGTTTAGGGCGCAGAGTATCTCGCAATCCGAGACTCCAACAAGAACCCTGGAATCCGCCCTGGTTCTCGCCATGGAACCAATCTCAAACGCAGTGTTGCCGATACCCCCGACTTTTGGGAGAGAAACCCCCCCGACATGGAAGATAATCCCCTTCAACCTTGCCACGGATAGACTCCGAGAACCCCAGCTGCTTCCCCACGGAAGGCGTGCAGAGTCGACCCTTCTCAAAGCCGCGGAGCCCACTAGGGGTGGGCTCGGAGCTTCATGGGGTCCCGAGAGCTTCAATTGAGGGCCCGGACTTCGAGAAGCATCCCAAGATAACGAGCTGTGGACAATCATTGTGAGCGGCGTGAGTGCATGCATCGGTCCGAAGAAGCTATCGCTGCTAGGGCACAGTGCTGTTAGCGTCGCCAGGGCTGGCCAACTTATGCCGACACTCACATAAGGGAGATGGAGCCAGGCAGAACTCATGACCAAAGCCGCCTTTGAGATCTTGGGAGCTGGCACACGCTTGCTTTGAGGTCTATCAGGGTCGGAACTCTAAACCGAAAACCCTATATGGGGGTTTCCGAAATTTGGGGCACTGTATCAGGGTCCTTCGTATAAGGGAATCCTACTATGTGGGGGACCATATTAGCGCCCCTTATTCTCGTAAACCCCCATATGCCCTGAACTTTAAACCACCAGGGCAACCGGGGTGAGGACTCGATTTCATGGGTGCGCGGCTTCAGACGGTCAGGGCTGGGTACTCGATAACGAGTAAAAGTTGAGGGGCTTGAGGTTTAGCGGGCAGGTTCAGAGAGAGTTACGGGAACTGGTAGCTGCGCCGCCTAAACGCGAGCTCGCGCGGCGACCTGTTCAAACCAAGGCCCCCTTGTTCCTTAAACCCAAACCCTAGACCCTAACCCCTAACCCCTAAACCCTAAACCCTAAACCCTAACCCTTAACCCCTAAACCCTAGTCCCTGAGGGTCTTGAGGTTGCCGGAAAAGAGACCTCCTGGAGTGACCCTGAAACTCCTTCCCACCCATCTCCTAACCCAAGTACCTGGGCTTAGGGTTTAGGGTTTAGGGGTTAGGGTTTAGGGTTTAGGGTGACCCAAGTGCAACCCCTGAAAAAAGAAGCGTACCCTTTTTGGTTTAGAGGGGCTTGTTTTTTCTAGGGGACCTGAACCCTACATAAAGGAACTCTAGGCTGTAACCCTGTTCTGCTGTATAACTTGAGATGCTCCCCCTTTATACTAACAGTCCTTAATAGGGATTCTGGTACCCCCTATTCTAATCCCTATTAAGGAGCTGTTAGTACCATGAAGGTGGAAAATCCCAATGTGCAACCACCGACGTATTTGATAGCCGTTGTGTTGCTCCAGGCCCGGCTATTCCGGTCGCATACTTCCCAAACCGTGGGCTTCAGGTTCACACGACCAAATCATTCTCAGAGGTTTAGGGTTTAGGGTTGAGGGTTGAGGGTTTGGGGTTTAGGGTTTGGGGTTTGAGAGCTTCAGGTTGCGCACCCTTCTCGGATGTGTTCGTGGCTTCTCGGATTTCGGGTTCCTGGCCGCTTGGTCGTCCAGTCATGGTCAGAACTTTCAGCAGCGACAGCTCAGCCCAGCTATCAACCCCTTTCCAGGGAATTGCAACGGCGCAGAACTTCAGAACCACCGTAAGCCAAATCCCTGAATTGTCCTGGAATGCATCATGCAAACATGGCGCCACGTGATGTTCCTTTTCCCAAGCATCCGCAATCCATCATTTAAAGGGGTGTTACGAAGGCTTTGAGTGTTGTTATCGTATAATTTTAAAGGGACCATCATAAACAAAACTACTAGTAATTATTCCGACCCCTGTATTGCTCTCCTAGACCCCCTCATCCCTCGAAAATGGCGCCCTCACTTCCTGGTGGGGAGGAAAACTGCATTGAAAAACTCTCGGCCTGCAAGCAGTGCGGCCCACTTCTAGACCGGTTCGTGTAACTCTATATGCGAGGCGTTGTCCGCACTGCGCGCATTTGCACAAGTAGGCAACCCTAAACCCTAAACCCTAAACCCCAAACCCCCGGGGCGCTCAACGGCACAACGCCCAGCAAGCGTAAAGCGACTTCGTAAACCGCAGGTGCACAAGGGCTCGTGTCCTTGGAAGGAGGGCTTCCATTACCAGGGTTTCGACTCTCACACTACCAGGTTTAGGGTTTAGGGTTTAGGGTTTGGGGTTTAGGGTTTAGGATTTAGGGTTTAGGGTTTTGGGAGGGCTTCCATTACCAGGGTTTAGGGTTTAGGATTTAGGGTTTAGGGTTTTGGGTTTGAGAGGTTGAGGCTTGGGATGTCTTGAGGTGTTTTCGGTTTTGGGGGCGTAGAGTTGAGGCGTGTGCTTCGAGCCTGGAAGACCCGAATGGCCAGTTGTTGCCGCCTCTTGTGGATCTTCAGCAACCCTAAAGCCCCTTTGTTTTTGCTTGAGGTCTCCTGAGGTAGCCTAGTCTCGCCAAAACCCTAAACCCTAAACCCGTTTTTTGAACCCTAAACCCGAGACGTAGCTACATAGCTCCTTAGGATGCCTTGGTTTCTGGGGGTGCTTTTGTCGCCCCTAAACCCTACACCCCAAACCCCAAACCCTGAACCTAGTTTAGGGGTTTATGGTCCAAGGCGGGCCCTTGTTTTGGGCTTGTTTTGGCCTTCTCAGGTAAAGAATTGACCACCCAGCAAGGCAGTCAGCTCTCTAGAGTCATGGCCCCCAAACCGAGGGTTTGTAGGGGTCAGGGTTTAGGGCTTTAGGGTGCTAGGGGGGTTTAGGTTTTAGGGGGTTAGGGGTTTTAGAGGTTAGAGTTTAGGGGTTAGAGTTTAGGGGTTTGGGTTCCGGGTTTTGGGTTTAGGGATAACACTGGGCCCCTTGTATGAAAAGGCCAACAAACAACCAGGCCATGCTTTCTTTAGCGAGCCGACCTCTGCATGTTAAACATATATTCAAAGCTTAGGAAAGATTCTGCCCGGCCTCTCGCTTTGCAAAAAGCGGGCGTAAGGATTAAGGATGCTTCAGTATTCAGAAGCATAGGTTAGGGCAGGAGCGCCTTTAGCCCCGGAACCTTGTGTGCGCACCATGTCGCACCTTTGCCCCTTAGTCCCTGAGATGCTCCTGTGAGGCTGAACTGTATGTGTATATATATATACATATATATATATATATTAATATATGTGTATATATATATACATATATATATATATATTCATAAATGGATATGTATATACATATATATATATATACATGTAGACCCGATGGCTAGGCACTGCACTGGCCCACAGGATTTGGTATGGAGGCGATCTCTCGCCGGCCATGGCAGGACGCCGGCAACGGCTCAGCAGCGGCATCCGTCTTGCCAGGATGCACGCAAGGGCACTCGAGGCAGTTTAGGGTTTAGGGTTTAGGGTTTAGGGTTTAGGGTTTAGGGTTTAGGCAACTCTGAAAGAGAGATAGGGACCTCGAACAACCGTCTCCGGTCAGCATATACACTACACAAGTGGGTGGCTTGGTAGTGTATGTAGTGACAACTGCACATAACTCTACAATAGCAGCTCGCCCTCGCGTGCGCGCATCATTCAGACTTCTCTAAGGGTGGCATGAGTTCTGCTTTAGCTGGCTGGCAGAGAAAAATAGATCAAGCACAAGAAGATCACCCTAAACCCTAAACCCGAAACCCTAAACCCTGGATGCAGGACTCCAGCACACCCTCTCAAAACAGTTGTGGCCAATCATATCAAGGAGAGATCAGGCATCCCACAGCGTAAGCCCGGCAAGCCTGTGGTACTTGGGGGCTGTTGGCTTTCCTAAAGCTAAAGTTAGGGTTTAGGGTTAGGGTTTAGGGTTTAGGGTTTAGGGTTTAGGCTTTAGGCTTTAGGGTTTAGGCTTTAGGGTTTAGGCTTTAGGGAGAGCCCTAAGCCTGATACACTGAACCCTTTGTCGACCCTTTTGGGTTCAGGGTGTACTCGCTCACTCCCGCACAAGCCAGGCGAGGCATTCTACCGTAACAGGGTTTCGGGTTTAGGGTTTAGGGCTTAGGGCTTAGGGCTTTAGAAGGCTATGTCAACTCCCCGTAGGTAGTTACCAGCATATGGCAACTATACTCAGGGTACTTGCAACCCTGCTTATACCTATCCATGAACCTTCACGTATGAAGGCCTCATACATGTGAACATATATATATATATATACATATGTGTGTGTGGGAGAGAGAGAGAGAGAGAGTGTGTGTGTGTGTGTGAGTGTGTATATTGATATCGATTTGGTTTTAAGTGTGTGTGTGTGTGTGTGTGTGCGTGTGTATGTTATGTACTTGTTACATGTACATAGACGTCTACATATATATACACACACGTACAAGTACTGGTTGGCGGTATAGACATTGAACCATCAAGGTCGGTAAACGAGCTTTCTTGCAGTCGATTCCTTTCTTGGGGGCTGCTTATACGGGCTTCAGCCCGGAACTTGGTATCCGGCCCCCTCACAGCTGGTCCCCCAGCTCTCCCGGCGTGTCTCGCATCGGGAGTCGGGAGTCGTTCGCTTCCTGGCGGCTGGGTGTAAGGTCCTTGCCTGGGGCTTTGTGGCCTTGGGAGTAGGGATTTCAACGTTCAGGTTGGGATGTTCCGCCATATATTCGCAGTCCTTCATCGGGACTATCGTAGCCCCTAAACCCTAAACCCGAAACCCTTAGTCCGTATTAAGGATTGCTAGCATGAAGGGAACATCCCAAGTTCTGGGGTTTCAGATGCTTTAGCGCTCTACAGGCGGCGCCGTCGGCCGGATGGCAATGCGGATTCGTTGCCCCTAAACCCTAAGCCCTAAACCCTAAACCCTTAACCCTAAACCCTAAAACCTAAACCCTTAAGGGACAGCTACGTCCCCCGAGATCCCCCTAAGCAGTTGGGCGCAGCTATCAGTCCCAGGCACACCACGTCTCAGTCTTAACCCAAAACTAGGGTCTAGGGTTTCTACTATTTGCTTAAGAACCCCCCCCCCCCATAACATATAAGAAAAGATATAATCATCCCCAGATTGCCCTTAGAAGGAAGAATGCTTTTGATGTTTTTTTTTTTTTTTTTGGGGGGGGGGGGGGTTCTTCAGCAATAGCAGCCCTAAACCCTAACTCCGAACCCTAAACCCAGTAGGAAGGGGCCTTGAACAAATAGTAGCCTGGGTGACCCTAAACCCTACACCCTAAACCCTAAACCCTAAACCCTAACATGCTCTTCTTGAAGCCAGCGCGCCAAGGAGTGTCAGCAGGCCGTGGCTGCATACGCCAAGCCACCAAGGCCGGCAAAGAGGTCCAAAGTAATCAGGGTTTAGGGTTTAGGGTTTAGGGTTTAGGGCTTAGGGTTTAGGGTTTTTTAACTTTAGGGTTGAGTCGCTCACGCTCGGACAAGGAAGGCGAGGCACTCGGTAGTCGTCCAGGGACTCGAGGCTCACACTCGCACGAAGCAGGAAAGGACTCGATGTCATCCAGGATGGCTTAGGGTTTAGGGTTTAGGGTTTAGGGTTTAGGGTTTAGGGTTTAGGGTTTAGGGTTTAGTGTTTAGGGTTTAGGGTTTAGGGTTTAGGGACACTCAGGAAAACATTGACAGAGACTGAAACTCACAACCAACGACACCTTTCACAACCATGATCCCCTTACAAGCCCAACCACATCATAGTCCGGGGTTTAGGGTTTACTACTATTTTCTTGAGAACCCCCAAAAAAACAAGAGACCTTCTTCCTTGTAAGGGCTAAATGGGGATTATTGTCCTTTTGTTCTTTTCCTCTCTGGCGAAGCCCTTAACCTACACCGCCTACAACGGTGCCTCAGCGCTAGCCGCGACGGAAGTTAAAAAGACCTCCAGTTCGGCGGGTTTAGGGTTTAGGGTTTAGGGTTTAGGGTTTACGGTTTAGGGCTTAGGGTTTAGGGTTCAGGGTTCAGGGTTTAGGATTGTTTTTTGGAGGGGAGGCGAGGGGCCTGCGCGATTTAGGGTTTGGAGATGGCAAGCCAGTTCCACTGACTGTGCTCAATCATCGAAGGCTTCAGGGGGGTTGGGATGCCACGGGTTTAGGGTTTCAGGTTTAGGGTTTAGGGTTTGGGGTTTGGGGTTTAGGGTTTAGGGTTTAGGGTTTAGGGTTGAGGGTTTAGGGAAGGCGTTGGAATCCTTTGGGGTCCCGCGGTGTTTCGGGTCTAGGGTTTTCTAGGACCCGATCGGATTTTGTAGCTGAGCCTGTACAACCAACCTTGAACCCAGCACTCCGTAGCCCTGATTTGGCAAACACCGAAACCCCAACACACTAAACCCTGGAAAAACCCTTAAAAACACCTTAAACACCCTTTCAAAACCCATAAAAAAATCCTCCAAAATTCCCAAAAGCCCTAATAAACCCTAAAAAAACCCTAAAAACCCCAAAACAACCCTAAAAACACCAGAGAAAAACCCCTAAAAGCCGAGCCCCCGGGCGACTGCGGGAGAGAAAGCGCAGAGGCCGCGGGGATTCGGGAGGCATGGCAACCATCTCTGGCTGCTCGTCCTGCAAACAGGGTTTAGGGTTTAGGGTTTAGGGTTTAGGGTTTAGGGTTTAGGGTTTAGGGTTTCTGCTAAACCCTTTTTTTTGCCTTTTTGCATCCGGGCTCTACGCAATATCTGCCGGAACCAAAGACTTATCCCACTTCGCTCCATCTCATGATATTCACAAGACAGCGCTAAACCCTAAACCCTAAACCATACACCCATTTTTGCGCGTTCGGCGTCAGGGGCTTGCAGGGCTTATTAGGGTGTTTCTTCTTCACACATGTGGGGACTACTTCAGGGGTCCACAAGACCGTCATCTTGCGATTTAGGGTTCAGGGTTTGGGGTTTGGGGTTTGGGGTTTAGGGTTTGGGGTCTAGGGCGATGTCAGTGCCCAAGCCCAACCCAGAAGCAGCCTAGAGCCTAGGTCACCAAAGCACCCAGTACCATTGTCGGTCTAGCTCTTCGTGCTTCTATTGCCGTCTTCGTTTGTTTTGTCACTGGTGTGAATATTGTTGCTTGCTGATATTATGGTCGTCATTGTCATGCCTTTGTCATGGTCGTTGCTTCTGTTATTGTTGTCATTCCTTGGTTTTGCGCTTACTATGGGCGAAATCTCACACCTTCTGATTTCAGGCGCTGACCTATCGCAAAGCGCCGACCTGATACGGGGTCAGAACAATCCCCCCCCACAAACCCTAAACCCTGAACTCCTAGTCTCCTAGGCCCCGTCAACCGCTCTCAGCACACCGCGAATGCACCCAAAGGAGCCTACATCAGAGCTAGGACGCTTTCCGTGCACCCCCCCCCCCCGGCGTCCCCCCCCTCCCATCCTAAAACTGCGCTACTGCTCCCCCAAGCCCCGGGTGGGGAACACGAAATGGGCGTTTCCGAAACTAGGGGCACCTTCCTGGGGTCCTTATTCTAAGGGAGATCCTACTATTAGGGGATCGAACTTGGAGGGTCCCACAACTTTGGCAAAACCCCCCAAATGTGAAGGAGTGCAGGAGCGATGTTGCCGGGGCCCGGGCCCTTGCCCGGGCAGTCGGGCCCGAAGCTGGCACAATAGACCTCTCCGTGGGTTTAGGGTTTAGGGTTTAGGGTTTAGGGTTTAGGGTTTAGGGTTTAGGGTTTAGGGTTTAGGGTTTAGGGTTTAGGGTTTAGGGTTTAGGTTGGAACAAGCTTCTGTGACATTCGCACCGCGCTACCCACAGGGTTGCAAAATTCGACGGGTTTCGAGCTTGAGGCTTCGGGAGCCCAAGGGACTAAAGGCGGGACCTTGAAAAAGGACCTTACGGGTTTAGGGTTGAGGGTTTAGGGTTTAGGGTTTAGGGGTTCTTTAGGGACTATACAATTTATCTATAGGGGAAATATGGGGGAATAAGATGAAGGGTACCTTCTAGACTTGCCTCCTTATACTCCTTAAGGAAACAAAAAGCACAGCGCCTGCCACTGGCCGTTGGAAGCTTGACCGTCGGTCTCTCAACCGAACTCTGCAAGGCATTCCTTTCATCTGCATCACCTCGGCATGCAATTTGCAACCTTCAGGATCTCAAGGTGGCTTTACCAGTTTGCCGGAAAAGGCCAGGAGTTTAGGGTTTAGGGTTTAGGGTCTAGGGTCTAGGGTCTAGGGTCTAGGGTTTAGGGTTTAGGGTTTAGGGTTTGGGGTGACCATAGGCGAGAGCAGGTGCAGGATAAGTTCACTTCGGGCTTAAGGTGTGTAGTCTGAGGTCGCCGCAGCAAACGAGGTCCTCGTTTGCAATGCCCAGTGCCTGCGCAGCATTATCGCACCCTGCTTCGGAAACTCTTCATTGAATTTTAGGGTTTAGGGTTTAGGGTTTAGGGTGTAGGGTTAGGGTTTAGGGTTCTTAAGGAAGCGGCGGGGGGGGGGGGAAGGGTTGGAAGGGGGTTCAGGGTCAGGCTAGACCCTAAACTCAAAGTTTAACCCTAAACCCTAAACCCAGACTCTCAACTGTCCTGAACCTGCTGTTTTGATGGAAAGACAGGGTTCTTAGGGGGGGTTCAAGCGCGGTGTGTAACCCGAGGTCCACTAATTCTCCCCACTCCTCCCTAAGGCTCCCTAAGCTTCGCGAAGGTTGCCTGGCCCCATGAAGCCCCCCCCCCGTTAGATCCGCAACCGTCCTAGGTCTCGAACCCCCCTCTCCCAGCCCCGAAAAAAAGCAGATCAAAAATGAAAATCCAAAACGCTCCCGCTTTCTGAGCCTTAGGAATCTGGGAGGACCTAGAGAGAAGAGCTCGGGTAATGTAGGGGCCTGAATAATTAGAATAGGTTCTTTTTTTTTGGGGGGGGGGTTATCATAGTAATAGGACTAGGGGGACCCTTGGGGACATAGACCCTCTGACCAACATCCCTGTTTAAGAGAGTTCCGACCCCTATATTACCTGGTACAACTCCGGGGTAACTGTGTGCGTGCAGGTGATTTACGACATTCAGGCCCCCGAAAACCCTAGACCCCCACCCTAAAAACCTGCCATCCTGATACCTGAAGCCCTAAACCCTAAACCCTAAACCCTAAACCCTAAACCCTAAACCCTAAACCCTAAACCTAAACCCTAAACCCTAAACCCTATCCCTAAACCCTAAACCCTTTTCTGCAAAGTAGCCTGAGAGTCGGTGGCCGGGATGGGTGGTGCCGTCTCCTCAGCGTCGACCCGCATCCCTTCAGCCCTGTGAAGCTGGGGTTTAGGGTTAGGGTTTAGGGTTTTTAGGGTTTGGGGTTTAGGGTTTAGGGTTAGGGTTTGGGGTTTGGGGTTTAGAGTTTAGGGTTTAGAGTTCAGGGCTTAGGGTTTAGTATTTAGGGTTTAGGGTTTACGGTTTAGGGTTTTTTTTGCCACCCGTCTAGCAAAGCTCCACGGGGCAACTGAAGAGGGAATGCTGTGCACATACTTCAGAGCCCAAGTTGAGGAAATCTTAGAGTTCCACACCAACCCCCAGCCCCCGAATCATCAACCGGCCTCATCATCAACCACAAGGTACGAACACCAAACCCACAGACCCATGGGGGCACTCCAAGGTTGGTGCGGCTTGTCGGCTCCGGCGTACGCCTAGCCACCCTGGTACCTGGCTGTTCCTTCAAGCACCACGGTCCTGGCTAGAGGCAACCGGAAAATGGAAAAAGGGTGTTCCCTACATCAATGCCGGGGGGGGGGTTCATGTCCGGCCAACACACCAACAGTCCCCAACCAAACACACATAGCTCTCAACCGTGCTGCCAAAAACTCAAGACGACTGTCCCCCTCCCCGGCATCCTACCAGCAGGACGTTAAAGTGGCCTGCCCGTAGACCTATCTGCACATACCGATCTTGTCATCACAGCTAACCCAACACATTGCCCCCCAGTGTAGCAGGTAATCAACAAACAGAACCAAAGCAAGTCGGCCTGTGTAAGCTCGCGCCCCGACTATGCAGGAAATGCCAGCCCGTTGGTGCACATGCATGGGCTCCTAAATTCGCGGCAGCACGTACTAGGGGGCGAGAGAAGGAAGTACTCACATGTGGGCATGCCTGTGGCCAGTCGCATCGGGTGTGAGGCAGGTTCAGGCTCATCCCCCCAGGGGCGTGCAGGCGTTGAAACAGACCACAAGCAAAAGGACATGCAATATATACAGCGGGTCATGCATTGAGGGGGCGTGCAGTACATGCAGACATGCAGCGCACATGCGGTGCGGCAGGGGGGGGGTTCTAAATTCAGACATGCACTTGCATCCATGCAGACGTGGGGAACATGCAGCGATATTGTATTCGGGCGGGAAGAGTCCACTACCATCTACTATTTGGGATATGGGCACGCCTGTGGCCGGTGATGACGGTTTAGGGTTTAGGGTTTAGGGTTTCGGGTCTGAGAGGGTTTAGGTACTTCAGCCCTGTAAGCTTGGAACTCTAACTACATAAAACCCGGAAGGGGGGGGGGGGGGGGTGGAGCCTAGGGTTCAGGGTTTAGGCAAGGTACTTAGGGGCTGCAGGGAGTTTTTCGGTGGTTGGGTTTGAGGCAGCGGTTAGAGTGATGAAGCACTAGAGGGTTTTGGCGGGGGTGGGGTTGGGGTCTCTTTGATTGGGTTCTTACGCTGAGCCCTAAACCGTAAACCCGAAACCCTAAACCCTAAACCCTAAACTGCTGGGGAGGCATCGCAAGGTGAGTCTTGGGGTTTCGGGTCACTAGGGTTTTAAAGCTGGAGCCTTGTTGAAAAAAGGATCAGGGGTTTAGGGCTTGGGGATGAGAGTTTAGGGTTTAGGGCGCTTTCGGGCACTGATTCTCACACGGGGCAAAACGGGACCATCATTCATAACCGCCAAATCCCCAAAAGATCCAAAACCCCAAACCGCTTCAAACTTAAACCCAGTTTTCCCAAAATGCCGAACCCTAAACCCTGTTTACAGAAATGCCTTGAAGACGACTGCCGGTCACTGCACTCTACTTACTGTTGGTTCGTAGGGAATGAGGAAATGAAGCACTCTATCTATATATATGTGTATATATATATATCATCGCTTAAAGGGTATATATAGGGGATATATGGTACCTCATTTCCTCATTGCCGACTAACCAACAGTAAGTCTCAGGCTTTTTGCTACGATCCCCCACTCTTGCAGGGCTTCGACTCTCACGCGGGCAAGGATCCAGGTCACACAGCTGCCCATAGAGCACAATATCCCTTTATTAAGGAGAGAGAGATATGAATAGATATATATATATATATATGTATATATACTCATTCATATTAAGGATCCCTGTACCATGTAAGGCATATTCCTTAATTCAGGGGTATTGGGCTCTCTGGGTACGAGGGTTTAGGGTGTAGGGTTTAGGGGTGTAGGTTTAGGGTTCCACAGTTCCACGCATATCCGTAAGCCCGCCCCTGCACACTGAGTTTGCTGCTGTCTTTGGCGGGGGCACATTGCTGCCCCCTGATGAAAGCGTCTCCGCGGTGGACTTGCCCTGCAGACCTTAGAACATGCCCACCGTTAGATGGCTCAAGCCTTTGGCTTTTCGGATCTCCGGTTTTAGGGTTTAGGGTTTAGGGTTTAGGGCTTGCCGCTTCAACTGTTGTACTCAACCAAAGACCGGAGAGCTGTTGCGAGCATCCGAGGTGGTGGCTCTTGCAATGGGTCGGCTCCGAGCTGGCTGACCTAAGGCTGTCAGCCTAACACCGAAATCATGGTTAGTGGGTTTAGGGTTTAGGGTTTGGGGTTTAGGGTTCAGGGTTTAGGGTTTAGGGTTTGGCCCCCAGGTTGGGATAGCGGCTAGCCTTGGTGCATCTTGGGTGTTAGACGGATCATGAGGACATCCAGACGATCTCAAAGCACCGGAGGCTTGGTCAAGCTGGGCTGAATTGATCCTCACGTGCCCTAAGCCGCAAAGACAAACCGGAACAGGAATGTCCAAGGCAGATGCCTTGCGGGCCACCCCAGGGAAGGGGGGGGGGGAAGCGCGGGGGAGTCCAGGTTTTCGACGTTTTGAGACCCGAACATGGACTCCCCCGCAGGTGCCTCTCTTGGCGGACAGGGGATCCAGGTTGTCGACCGGATCATGGATATTCAGTTTCAACGATTCGACTTCAGCACAAGATTTCGAGCCGGCTCCAAAACACCCACCTAAAGGGCTTGCTCTCTTGAGGTGGAGCACACAAGCGTTCCGAGGCATGCCAAATTGCTGAGCAGGCAGCATGGCTTGGACATCATCAGCCTGCGGGGAGCCAGGCCAACTGGCGCTTCGAGTTCTTGGCGTATGGCTCCCCAGAGAGCCCTTCAGACCCCCCAATTAGGGAATATGCTTTAGGTTGTATAGGGATCCTTGGTATGATTTTAAGGTACATTACTTGAGTATGGGATACTGGGCTCAAAGACTCAATGTTGAGGTCAAGAGCCCTCCAGGCACCAGGCAACTAACCATGAAGGGTGGTCATGAACAAATGCTCAGCTGGGCTTTGAAGTCAAAACCCAGAGAGACCAATACCCCTTAATTCAGGAAGTTGCCTTAAATTCTATAGGGCTCCTTGGTAGGACTTAAGGTATACAGCCTTAATTAAGGGATCCTGAATATGAATTAAGGTATATATCCTTAATTAAGGTACATATTCATAATGAAGGTACACATTTTTGGCTAAGGTATATATATACATATATATATATATATTCTTAATTAAGGTATATATTCTTAATTAAGGCATATATATATATATGTATATATCCTGAATTTAAGGGATCTTGGTCTCTTTTGGGAACCCGCTGCCTCCGAACCGCTTCCCGAGGCCGGCCAGGGAAGCACCGGCGGCTTCCTTGGTAGCCCAGTGGCCGTAATTCTAAACCCTAAACCCTAAACCCTAAACCCTAAACCCTAAACCCTAGCCCTAAACCCTAAACCCTAAACCCTAAACCCCAAACCAAAACCGACAAAAGGGTACTACTGGGCTGCCCAACTTCTGGCACGAGGAACTCGGGCCCTGCGAAGGGCGCCGCGGCCGCGAAGGCTCCGCCTGAGGGAGAGCAGGGAGCAGCCCAGAAGCTGAAAGCAGTTTAGGGTTTAGGGTTTAGGGTTTAGGGTGTAGGAAGTAGGGGTTAGGGTTGAGGGCAAACGCTTCTTTGGGGCTTTAGGGATCTTTGGGGGTTCAGGGTTTAGGGTTTAGGGTTTAGGGTTGAGGGTTTAGGGTTTAGGGTTGAGGGTTTAGGGTTAGGGTTAGGGTTTAGGGTTTACTTCTGGGCGTTTTAGGCTTCGGACTGAGGGTGTATGGTTCAGGGTTTGGGGGTTAATCGTCTCCAGGCGAGACACACACACACACACACGGCCACCTTGCGTTGACACCTCGCTGCACCCACCATCGACCCACATGAAGAAGGGTCCGATGGCCGGACCTAAAGTCGAACATTCCCCAGTTGTGGGAAGTTATGGGGCTCCGACTTCCTGTGGGAATCTGGGCGAAGGATTCGCCTTCTGCTAGCCCTAAGCCCTGAAGCTTATGTTACAGGAAGCCCCCAGCCCCCGAGAGGCCCTGAGCAAGAGCTGCAAACATTTGCCTGCAATTTTCAAAACATGCCATGTGGCTCATCCTCAGCACCTCAACCCCTAAACCCGAATCCCTAAAGCCGAAACCCTAAACCCGAAACCCCAAAACCCTAAACTTTACTGGCCTCGGTGTGTTTGGAGCTCTCCTGCAAGGGCTTTGGGGTTTGAAGGGGTTTGGACTTCTGGGTGCATGAAGATGCGAGCTGCGGTATCGCCAAACAGAAAAGAAATATCAGGCCCAAAGACACCAGATGAAGCCCGGGCCCGTGAATCACAGCCCCACACTAAACTCGGAACCTAAAACCACCGAAGACGTATGCGTGTCAAGGGTGTCAGGGTGTCGGGGGGGGGGGGGGGGGGACCCTAAACCCTTTTTTGAGCACGGGCTTTGGACGTATGCCGGCAAGCTGGAATCTTAAGATCTTCACAAGACACCCTAAACCCTAAACCCTAAACCCTAAACCGGGGGGACCCAAGGTCACTCCAGGAGCACAAACGTACACCAGAGCTTCGGGTCCTCGGCGTTCCCACACATCCTGAAGGAGACCTCACCATGTCTGTTGCAGCCCCCCCCCCCCCCCCCACAAAAAAAAACAACACGCATACGTCTATAGCATGTGCATGGTAAACTATCTCTATAAATACATATATATATATATATATGTGTGTGTGTGTATACACATGTATATACAAAGGGGTGTTGCATCTGTACATGTGTAGCATGGAAAGTACATATGCACATGACCACTACTAGCTCTTGAAGTCACTCCCTAATCCTGGCCCAAGAACAAGTATAGATGTTTAGATGTAAATGTGCATGTATGTATGCACGCTGCGTATATCAGACTCCCTACAGCATACATATATATATATATGTATATATGTATACATATAATACATATATACATATATGTTTATTTATGTATATTTACTTACCCATGTTTTGCTGTAAGCGTCTAGATGCATGCACGAATACATGCACGCCTGCACACCTACATACCTACATACACCTACATAAGTATGTGCGCACACATACAGGTATACATATAACATAGACATATACATATACATATACATATGCATATACATATACTAGACACACACGCCGGAGTAGAACACATCCTAGGGATTGCCTATTCTTGACGCAAAAACTTGTACTGAGGCCCTTCTTCTGCGAGACAGGTCTAGGATCAGAAGCCATTAAACCCTAAGCCACCACACCCTGGGCACCTGCTTCACTGGAGGCGGTTCTGGACTCGTACCTGTTCAAACAGGGAGAGGCCTGAACACGAAGGGTTTAGGGTCTAGGGTGTAGGGCTTAGGTATGAAGTTCTACCGGAGAGGGATACGGCTCGGGGCTGCAGGGCAGGTAGAGTTGAAGGATGACAGACTCTAGGTTTCGAAGGCATGAATTTAGGTAGGGCTCGCGGGCTTACAAGGTTTAGGGTCTAAGGCTTAGGGATTAGGGTTTAGAGTTTAGGGTATAGGGTTTAGGGTGAAGAGTTGGAGGGGTTGAAAGAGACTCTAGCAGCAGGGCGAGACGTCTCTGTTTTAGGTGGACGAAGCCAGCTCTTGCCATGATACGTTGTTTTGCCAAAACGGTGTGAATGCTTGGTTTTGGGTTTAGGGTTTAGGGTGTAGGGATTCACCTTGGAGATCAGGAACGTGTGTCTTAGGGTCGTAAACATCAAGAGGCGAGAAATCCCGAATTCAGGCGGAGAAGCCCACAAACCCTAAACCCTAAACTTAATTGCTGAGTTCATAAGCCCCAAAAAAGGGTACACTTCCAGTTTTCTAGGGGGTAATAGTATTACTAATAGTATCCCAAAAAGTGTAAAGTGCACTAATTCAGCCACTAAGTAAATCCTAAACCCAAAACCCTCCAATGCAAACTGGCCCACGGTGACTCACAAATTCTTCGGCACGCAATGGAGCGGGGGCCCAAGCTTGCTAAACCTTGACCCTAAACCCGAAACCCTAAGTAGCTTCTTCGTAGCTCTCTGGGTTCAGCCAAAGTGCAGCTTGCAGGAGGCCGCGGACGCTGTCCTCTCACGAGGATTTGCTTCAGGAAGTCCACAACCCCAGATCTTCCAAAACCCTCAATTGAGGAATGTTCCCTAATTCTTAGTAATGGCCACTAGTAGGGTTTTATGGTATATTCCTGTATTAAGGGGTTCTGTAAGATCTGGGACCTAGCAATTCAAGGCAATTGCAATGCTGTTGATCAAGAAAGCTCCCCAAAAAGTATTCGCTAACCTTGGGCTACATACCCCCCTTGAAACCCCCCTCCCTGAAGGACCCTTTCCTAGGATAGGCATCGGGCCGAGAGAGCCCAATACCCCTTGATTACAATCCTTCAATTCTATAGGGATCCTTGATATGATTTAAGGTAGATTCCTGAATTCCTTAAATGATATAGGGACCCTTAATATGAGTTAAGGTAGATTCATGAATCAAGGAATGCTCCTTAAATGATATAGGGACCCCTTAATATGACGTAAGGTCTATTCAAGGAATGCTCCTTAAATGATATAGGGACCCCTTAATATGATTTAAGGTCTATTCCTTAGTTAAGGCAGTGAAGGCTGCAAGCTCCAAGTTGCCTGAGGCCCCTGACGACCATCGGAAGCCAAAGCCAAACAGCCGAAACCCTCAACCCTAAACCCTAAACCCTGAACCCTAAACCCAAAACCCTAAACCCGAAACCCTAAACCCTGAACCCTAAACCCTAAACCCTAAACCCCTTAAATCCTACACACTACCAGGGGGCCTCGCAGATTGTGTAAAGGACAGCTGGCAGCAGACATGGCTGCCTCTGCCAGCACCGGGCTCATGGCGCCGCTGCCCTGAAACCGGAGGCGATGTGGTTTGGGGTTTGGGGTTTAGGGTTTAGGGTTTAGGGTTTAGGGTTTAGGGTTTCGGGTTTAGGGTTTAGGGTTTAGGGTTTTACCAGAGGGCTTAGGGCTTAAGGGCTTAGTATGGTTTAGGGTTTAGGGCTTAAGGGCCTAGGTAGGAGCTTAGGGCTTAAGGGCTTAGGGGCTTAGGGTCTAGTGCTTAGAGGGCTTAGGGCTTAAGGGCTTAGGGGCTTCGGGGCTTCGGGGCTTTGGGCTTCGGGCTTAGGGTTTAGGGTTTGACATTCAGGGTTTGACAGTAAAAAGCGCTAGATAGTTCGCTTGCTGACACTCAAGCGTTTAGTTCAAAAAAAATGTTCAAAAGCTTTTTCAATTTACACCAGCGCCGACCCCAAACAGTTGTTAAGAGGAGCGACGCGGTGGCCATTGGCGCCGATGCTTCTGGACACGGCGGAACGGCACAAGCTGCTGGAAAGGAGGGGATCAGGGGTGTCAACAGACAACGCGCAAACCCTAAGCCTTAAACCCTAAACCCTAAACCCTAAAGGAACGACCAACAAAGAACACATGGAGACCTCGACCTTCTAGAATGCGAGAGCGAGCTGCTTCATGCACCCGGCACAGGCGTGGGGTTTAGGGTTTCGGGTTTAGGGTTTAGGGTTTGGGGTTTGGGGTTTGGGGTTTTTGTAGTATAATGTATAATCAGAAAGGGGCCATAAGGGGAATACTATGAGTAATTACTCCGACCCCTAGAGTTACAGCAACTAGAACACGACACTGCCGTTTAGGGTTTAGGGTTTAGGGTTTAGGGTTTAGGGTTTAGGGTTTAGGGTTTAGGGTTTTGGGTTTAGGGTTTAGGGTTTAGGGTTTAGGGTTTCGGGTTCAGGCTTTAGGCTTTAGCCTTTAGGGTTTAGGGTTTAGGGTTTAGGGTTTAGGGTTTAGGGTTTAGGGTTACCAGTGCAACTGTAAACCCAACTAAATCCTAAATCCCTGAGCTCGGCCTCAGCAAGGCCATCGTGGCTGGTGATTAAAACTGGCAAGAAGGGCGATCCTCGGGAAACTTCCCCTGGTTCTTACTAGGGAATGAGGGAGTTGGGGCCTTACATGAAACCCGTGCTGGCGCGGACTGGCACACAACTCCACACACGGTTCCGGGCAAAAGTTGAAGGTTTCCCGAAACCCTAAACCCTAAACCCTAAACCCTGAACCCTTAAGGGACATCTACGTCCCCCGAGATCCCACCAAGCAGTTGGAAAGCAGATATCAGCCCCAGGCACACCAAGTCTCAGTCTCAACCCAAAACTAGGGTCTAGCGGGCAAATCGCGTTTAGGCTTCAACTCAAAGCCCTTTGGCACATCCTCAACCCATCTTGCCCCGACCTGGGGGAGGATCTATAAAGCAGATTCCTAGATACAAACATGGGTCTGGGTTTGGGACGTTCCCCCGTATTCTAGCAGTCCTTAATGGGGATTATAGTACCCCCTAGTAGAGTCCCGATTAAGGACTGTTAGTATAAGGGGGGACATCGTCTGGGTTCTTGTGTCCTGGATTTTGTGCTGCGGCAGCCTTCTTAAGACGTGTTGTGAAGGGCTGCGGGGAGGGGGGGGGATTTCCTCGGGGTTTTACTGGCACAGGGGTTGGCAATGTAGCAGGCATATTGAGTTAGACTGGATATTCTGAGTCATTTATATCAATATGTGTATTCTTTTTCTTTCTACAAACAGCCACCCCAGTATCATCATAATGGCGGGGTAATATTGGTCAATATCGAGGCTCCTGTGGCACCCAAAGAGCCCAATATTGTTTAATTAAGGAATATACCTTAAATCATATTCAGGATCCCTATATGATTTAAGGAATATTCCTTAATTAAGCAATATAGGGGCTCTTGGGGTATACAAGGGGAAAATTTGGCAAATATTTAGGCTCCTGTCGTTAAGGAAAAAACCGACCCATGGCAACCTTGCCCGTGGGGAGGCCTTGCCCGTCCTCGCTGGAAGTGCCTGGGCATTGTTCAACTAGGGCCTCTGAAGGGTTTAGGGTTTAGGGTTTAGGGTTTAGGGTTTAGGGTTTAGGGTTTAGGGTTTAGGGTTTAGGGGTTGTAGGGCGGATAGGGTTTGTAGGCTTCGCTGATAGTCTTTAGAGGACTCATAGAGTTTAGTCCGTCGGTTTTCGGGGCTTAAGGATTCTAAATAGGGTGCATGGGCTTGTAGGGATATCGGTTGGGATGTTCCTCCTCATGCTGACAGTCCTTAACAGGCATTCTAGTACCGCCTACATAATCCCTACTAAGGACTGCTAGTGTAAGGGGAACATCCCGCAGGTGTTAGGGGTTTTGGGCTTAGCTTGCATTTTTCCCTACCTGCCTGGGGCTCAGGGTGTTTTCGACTTATGGAGTTGCTGCGAAGCGCTTACGTCTCACCCTAAACCCTAAACCCAAAACCTTCTCCAACAGCCAAGAGATTCAGAGTCTTGTTCCTGATGCTAACCCTAAACCCTAAACCCTAAACCCTAAGGGACACGCGAAAGATCAAAGCTCATCTATGGGCGGAGCGGCCCCGAGCCCTGAACCCTACGTATTCCGAACCCCTATATTGCACCCTAAACCCTAAACCCTAAACCCTTAACCCTAAACCCTAAACCCTAAACCCTAAACCCTACGTATGCAAGCCGGAGAGGCCAGGACTGAGCGGAGGCCGGTCCTGGCTGAGTTGGTTTAGGGGTTAGGGTTTAGGGTTCAGGGTTCAGGGTTTGGGGTTTAGGGTTTAGGGGTTCGGGTTCAGAGGGCGTTATGCCAATTGCACCATTGTAGGCGGGGTGCCATTGTAAAATCACCATTCTTGTTCCTTACCGGGCTTCGGCATTCACAAGAATGAAAAAATATTTTCAACCAGCACCCCAGGCAAGGTCACCCCCTGAATCTTGGCCCCTCAACCTCCGAAAAGCGATCCTCCTCTTCCTCCTCATTCTCGTCCTCCAGCTGGTCCGGTCTGATGGATTCCTGCCCGTGATGCTCAGGGGAGTTTAGGGTTTAGGGTTTAGGGTTTAGGGTTTAGGGTTTAGGGTTTAGGGTTTAGGGTTTAGGGTTTAGGGGAGTCTTGGGGCGTTCAGGGGTCCCTTCCCAGGGGCTCTCGGTTGATTGAGCCCCAGAGGCCTGTAGATCCTTTTCTACAGGGACTTGAGGGCTCCCTAAACCCTAAACCCTAAACCCTAAACCCTAAACCCTAAACCCTAAACCCTAAACCCTAAACCCTAAACGGGACCCCCCCTCTCCCTGAAGGGTATCTTGAAGAGCCCCCAAGTCGACCAAGAGAGAAGGTGGCCAGAAGGTTAGGGTTCAGGGTTCAGGGTTCAGGGTTCAGGGTTCAGGGCTCAAAGTTCAGGGTTCAGGGCTCAGGGTTCAGGGTTCAGGGTTCAGGGTGTAGGGTTCAGGGCTTAGGGGCCTCAAACCAGTGGCAACACGAGGTTTGGGTTTGCTCCCCACCCGTACCCCTGAAACCTGCTCATTGCTGCTGCTGATGGGCTGTTTCATCTGGCAAGCCGAAGTCCAAAGACAAGCCCGTAAAGGGTTTAGGGTTTAGAGTTTAGGGTTTAGGGTTTAGGGTTTAGGGTTTAGGGTTTAGGGTAATCAAAACGCTGCGCCGCGCTTGCCGAGAAGCGCGACTCTCATTAAGTCGCTCACGAGGACCGATAAGTTGCTTCGGAACCTCCCCCGAAAAAAACTAAGGATGATAATCCCTATAGTACCCTTGTAAGGCAGAACGTGTTCATGTTTTGGGGCGGGCTCTTAAGCAAATAGTAGCCCTAAACCCTGAACCCAGTAGGGGGGGGGGGGGGGGGGGGGGGGGGGGTTCTTCAGCAAAAACAGGAGGGACTTGAGCGGCTACCTCGTCATCGTCGTCGTCCTCAGGGTCATATGCTGGCAAGTCTCCCGTGCTTCTCGGGCGCAAGACCTGCAATACATGCGGGGGGCACCTCCACCTTCGAGCAACCTACTGGTTCAGCACGGCATGAGGGAATGAGAGACCTGACATATATATATATATATATAGAGAGAGAGAGAGATAGAGATAGAGATAGAGATAGAGATCGAGATAGAGATAGAGATAGAGATAGAGATAGAGATAGAGATAGAAGTATGGATGTAGATACAGATACAGATACAGATATAGATATAGATATAGATATAGATATAGATATAGATATAGATATAGATATATGTGCGTGTATATATGGCCATGTAAATAAAGATACAACTATACATATAAGTATAAATATAAACATACATATACATAAAAAATGTAAATACAAGTATCCATAGAAATAAAAAATATAAAGATAAAGATAAATACAAATAAAAATAAAATAGAGATATAGATATAAATAGAAATAGAAATATAAATATACATATGTATATATATATATACACATGTGTATTTATATTTATATTTATATTTGTATTTATATTTATATTTATATTCCCTTACAGGGTACATTTCGGGGGATATCGGGTGCACAATTTCCCTCATTCTCTCTGTAGAATCTGTACAGGTACGTTCAGGGTCCACCCGCGTTTTGATTTCCTCTGACCGACTCCACGCCAACAGTCGCTTCCTGATTTCACAGCCCAGGTCAGGGTTTTTGGGGACGCCCGCCTGGCAGACTAAGTTCGCGGAACCTTGCCCGCTTTGGGCAGTAATATCAGGCATGGTTGGCATGGTTCTCCCATGGAAGAGAGCGTTAGGATTCTGTTGCTTCGCCGCCTCTTCCACGTCCTGAGTGCCCATGTCGCCTTGGTGTGCACCCTCTGTCTCTTTGAATCCCAAACACGAAATCTTAACCGAGACCACTGGGAGGATTCCAAAGGATGATCCGTTTAAGGGTTCCCAAGAATGACCCTGTAGTAATATAGGGTACGATTTGGTGGCTCTACTTTTTTGCATGCTTGCAGGGCACTGGAAAGTGGTGCGCCTTTTCTCTTTGGAACCCAGACTCACAGGCATCAGCTGGGACCACCAAGCCTGACCCTTTTCCCTTTTTTTTGAACCCGCGCTATGCTAACCCCTAAATCCCTAAACCCTAAACCCCAAACCTGAACCCTAAAACACTAACCCCTAAACCCTAAGTCTGGAGTGTGGCTCCGAGCTGAGGGGAGAGGGGGGTTCAGGTTGGATCGGGCATCGGGCCCCCAGGCATAGATCTAAGGGGCCCGTGTGTATGAGGGGCAAGCAGCCGGGGTAGCATGATTTACGTAAGTGTACAGCACGACCTTGGTCGATGCTCTGACCAGGCTTGACCACCAGTGAAGATCTCCGGGGTTGTCTCGTTTGGGAACTTACGACATCAGGGGTACCTTCTTGGGGTCCTTCTTGTAAGGGAATCCTACTACTTGGGGGTCTATATTCAGGGTCCCTTATTCTCGTAAACTCCCATAACTACCCATGAACCTCCAAGTACGCTTACCCTCGCTTTGGCTGAGGCAAGGCTCGATAACTGGCCGCGCGTTGCTTGTCCGACTTGTCTGGCATCTTGTCTAGCAGCTTGTCTATATTCTCAACGGACTGATCCTCCTGTGTACCCCGAGCCCTGGGAGGATCCAAGAACCAGAACCCCCAAAAAGTAATTACCCTATACTACTACGTACTACTGGGGCATTTTTTGGACCCTTTAAGGGGATCTACTTTTAGGATTCTCCTGCGGAATGCCTGGAACACTTGGAGCGATGGGCTAAGGCAGTGGTCGAGTGAGTTTGAGTGCAATGCTCGGCCTGGGCACGAAGCCGATCCTAGTCACCCTAAACCCTAAACCCTAAACCCTAAACCCTAAACCCTAAACCCTAAACCCTAAACTGGCGGAACACACGAAGCCACAAAAAACCAACCCAAGAGCCGGCTCAACTCGCCCCAAACACCGCAACTCCTTCTTCCCAAAAGTTAACCGGTAAAGGGCGGAGAGGAGTGTGTTAGCGGGTACCCAGACCCCTGGGAGGATCCAAAAAATAGAACCCCCAAATAGTACCCTGTACTACTATTCAGGGTCATTCTGAGGAACCCTAAACCCTAAAGCCTAAACCCTAAACCCCAAACCCCAAACCCCAAACCCTAAACCCTAAACTAAACCCTAAACCCTAAATCCAAACCGTGTCCCCGGGGTCTGGAGCAGCAACAGATCCTCCATCTCCGCTTCGGTGATGGTGTTCATCTCGCGCACAGGTGGGGTCGGCAGGAGTACCTGCGTGCTCTCAGGGCCGGGGCTGCTTGTGCAGACAGGCACAGGCACAGGGTTTAGGGTTTAGGGTTCAGGGTTCAGGGTTTAGGGTTAATTTAGGGTTTAGGGTTTAGGGTTTAGGGTTTAGAGTATATCGCTAGTCTCCGCGAAATTACTCGGCGAGATCCACAGCCTTTGCAGCACAGAGTTGCCTCTCTGCAGGCTTTTCGGACTCCGTACGCGCGTTGAAACTTGCAAAAGCCTCTAATGGCAAGATAGCACTTGGAGGTTCGTGGGCAGTTTTGGATTCTAAGTACCCTTAAAAATGGGGATATAGGTATAGTTCCCATACCTTTAAGTACAGTTGCCGTGCTCGTAACCCGACTTATAACTACCCATGAACCACCAACCCTAAACCCTAAACCCTAAACCCTGAACCCTGAACCCTGAACCCCAAAGCAGCAAACAAAAAAAACACTTGTCTCATGAGCCGCCGAAGCACTGGCCCGTGAGGGCCCTTCTGCTTCGGCCTCGAAGATGTGCGGTCCCTTAGCGTTCTTGCCCCGGAAGGGAGTTTAGGGTTTAGGGTTTGGGGCTTAGGGTTTAAGGTTTAGGGTTTAGGGTTTAGGGTCTAGGGTTTGGAGTTTAGGGTTTAGGGTTTTCTTTTGCGGGTTTAGGGTTTATAGGGTTTATAGGGTTTACAGGGTTTATAGGGTTATAGGGTTTATAGGGTTTACAGGGTTTATAGGGCAATAGGGGGTACCCGAATCCCTACTAAGGAGCTGCTAGTATCAGGGGGAACATCCCAAGCCATCACCCTCATGGTGTCTCTGTGGGCCCTGAAGTCGGCCGCCCACCCTAAACCCTAAACCCCAAACCCTAAACCCTAAACCCCAAACCCTAAACCCGAAGAGCGGCAGATGGTGCCGACACGTATGTCCGGTATCTCTTTCTGCACGTCTGCGCCGCAACAGAGGAAGTGCCCTCCTTGCTAAGCCTTTGCACCGTGCGAGCCGAAACGTCGTTCCATGGTCGGCCTCTCGTCGCCATGCAGTGTGACCTACAGCACCTTACGACTGCATGCGACGAAGTAGACAGACAGGGAAATCAAAGGCAGGCAGCTAGACAGGCGCAGGGGCGCACATAGCAAAGGTAAGGTGTGCGTTTTGAATCATAATGTGGGTTTGCTTAGTTGTACCGCCTCTGACGAACGCGCATGCCTTTTCCTCAGAGGGCGCTCTGCTAGCTGCCTCTTGCGTATGCTCGAGAAGCTGAACCATGAAACCTGCCACACCACCATTCCGAAGACACCGAGTCCTGGCTGGTCCCCTAAACCCTGAACCCCAAACCCTAAATCCTAAACCCTAGGCCCTAAACCCTGAACCCTATCAGACCCTGTTGGCCTAATACCCTAAACCCTAAACCCAAAATCCTTCTCTCCTCACCTCATCGTCCGGCTTCCTTCCGCAATGGCGTGCCCCTCTCACGCGTTGGCAAGCCAACAGGGTCAGGAGCCAAGAGTCGGACCATCTTTTCATCTTTTACAAGCTGTTGCAATTAGATTGCAAAACCTGTCATGGATGTTGTACGCAGTACATCGAAAAAGCGGTCAAGATGGACACAAGGAGAAAGAGAGGAAATGCAGAGAGCGACGAAGCTGCAAAGAAGTGCTTTCCACTACATGCTCAAGAACCACACAAAAAGCTGAACGTATTCTTCCTTACAAGGGTAGTTTCGGGGATACTACCTTCTCTTTTTTTGGGAGCTCTTAAGCAACTTGTAGATTTTCCCTCGGGCCGCTACAGTAGTGTCTTGCTCACACAAACTTGCAAGCAAAACCCTAAACCCTAAACCCTAAACCCTAAACCCTAAAACAACAAGTACACATCCACAAAGCCCTCCCAGGAAGCTACCACTCCTGGGTCTTGTTGCCCTAAACCCCCTAAACCCTAAACCCTAAACCCTAAACCCTAAACCCCAAACCCTAAACCCCAAACCCTAAACCCTAACCCTAAACAAAGTTTGCCTTCGTCGTGCCGGGTGGCTGCTTGACTTGCTGCTCTGTGGGGGAAAGCCCAGGCCCTGGTGGCGAGGCCACCGCACGCCTTCGAAGCTGGGTTTAGGCTTTTCTTGTTGCCCTAAACCCTAAACCCTAAACCCTAAACCCTAAACCCTAAACCCTAAACCCTAAACCCTAAACCCTAAACCCTAATTGCCAAGCACCTGCCTGCCCCTGAAAGACAAGTGAGTGGGGGTGGCGGGAGGAGGGTTCAGGGCCTCGGAGCTTTCGACTTCCAGCTTGCCATCCAGGGCTTTGCTTGAGGTTTAGGCTTTACTCGGCGCTATCTCTGAGTCTGAGCAACTGAGCGCGACTGCACTGTGAACAAGCACATCATCGGGACCATCCCCAGCAGTACTGGAACTACTGGGCGGCATCCCAATTCACCAGCCGATCCGACAGCACATCCAAAGGAAAGGTTGAGATCTCAATGATACTTTTCGGCTTCCACAAGTTTGGCAAACGTCGAGGGGCATTCGAGGTTTAGGGTTTAGGGTTTAGGGCGGCCTTGCAGGTTCTTGCTGCTTGTTTGGAAGGGATTGTTGAAAGATGCAAGTCTGTCAGCTTCGGGCAGGCCCGGCGAGGTAGCATCATAGCAGCTTACACATGAGTAGCCCGGCCTGATCTTGGAATTGAAGACGGAATTGGCCGAGATCATCCGCGCTCTATCAACAGCCTTGACTTTGCAGCTTGAAGCGACCGGGTGTCTTGCTGGTGCTTGAGGGGCACTCTAGAAGTACGAGGTTTAGGGTACGGCTTCTTCCGGGTTCACTGGAGGGATCCAACCAGTAAGAAAATAAAATGCCACCTCTTCGGGGCCTGCGATGGTCCACTAGGTGAATGCTGCAGCCCACACCTAGACCAACCCTGAACCTCCTAGTTGCTGAGTGCCCAGGGCAAAAAAAAAGTGAACCTTTCAATTTTGTTCGGATTGTACATACCCCAAAAGGTTACAGGTTTAAACCTGGCTGAGCCAGCATACTGAACAGAAGGAGCCCGATTTTACACTGCCCGCTCCTAGACTTCTTGAGTCGTTCAGGGCAGCTGAAGATAAGCCTCACTCGCTTCACCAGGGTTTCGGGTTTTGGGAGTATTCTGTAGGGTTTAGGGATTCGGGTTCAGGGTTTAGGGCACAATCATGCCAATCGAACTCTCAAGCCTGCGGGCGTGTCAAAACGCTGCGAGGCTCCGGGAGACCGCCTTAAGCCTTCTCTGCCATGTACGGCGAACCCCAAAAAGTGGGGTTTGCGATGTTAGGGGTACCTTCTTGGGGGTCCTTACTATAAGGGAATCCTACGTATTTGGGGGGGGAGGGGGGGACTCCTTATATTCGTAAACTCCCAAAAGCTGAAAATCTTAGTCTCCCTAGTTGCTTGGTACCTTGGGCTCAAATCAGGTTATAACCTTTCCATTACGGCAGGATTACATATACCCGAAAGGTTTTTAAAAGGTTACCTACTCAGCTACGAAGCCAAGATGGCCCGTAAAACCATCTGGCAAATATTCCTGAACATGATCCTCCTAAACCCAATAAGGGAAGATGGTCTGCTCGGCCTACCCTAAACCCTAAACCCTGCTAATTGCAAGCAATCCCGGTTTCCCCCTTCGCCCGGAGACAGCTTGCAGACAAGCTGCCTGCTTGAAGCCTATCCGGTCCTGCCAAGGTTGCTTCAGAACCCCCCCCCCCCCCCCAAAAAAAAAAAAAACAGGCTAATAACGCCTGTATGTCCCTATATTACCCTTGTGAGGAAAAATATTCTTTTTGAGGGGGTTCTGAAGCAAATAGTAGCAAACGTCTGAGCCAAGGGATTGGGGGATTTAGGCTTCTCTCAACGCCCCAGGCTCGCCCAAACGCCGTGCATTTTTGTTGCAGCTCGACGACGGCATCATGGAACACCGTACCACGAGACCACGGGACCACGGAAACAAGGGACCAGCACACATGCCCGGCAACAGAAAATGCAATCGTTTGTGCAGGACAATGTGTTTATCTGTGCATCTTGAACCTCGTTCTTGATCCTTTATCTGAATATTTTTCGGTGCGCGTCCAGGCAGCAAGGCCACAAGTAGCAGAGCCCCTGCCATACTTGTACAAGGAAACCTTCCTTGTCCCCGACAGCCCGGAAAGCCTCATCCCTGTCACAAACCACACGAAAATGACTGAACACCAAGACCGCAATACGAGCCATGGGCCAAAGTGGCAGGGTTTAGGGCTTAGGGTTTAGGGTTTAGGGTTTAGGGTTTCGGGTTTCGGGTTTAGGGTTTAGGGTTTAGGGTTTAGGGTTTAGGGTTTAAAGGGGTTGGTTGAACGAATGCTTGTCAGGCGGGCACATAACGATGCAAGCTCTGCAGGCATGGGACACAACAACAACAGCCTGTCGACGGAACCCTAAACCCTAAACCCTGAACTGCCCTAAACCCTAAACCCTAAACCCTAAACCCTAAACCCGAAACCCTAAACCCTAAACCCTAAACCCTAAAAACCCTAAACCCTAAAAGCCCTAAACCCTGAATGGAAGGCCAAGGGTCGTTGTCTCGGCAAACAGCTCCATGCCGACATGCTTCCAGGACATCGCCCAGAATCTTCAGAAAGCTAAGCTGCCTGAGGTTTAGGGTTTAGGGCTTAGGGCTTAGGGCTTAGGGCTTAGGGCTTAGGGTTTAGGATATAGGATTTAGGATTTAGGATTTAGGGTTTAGGGTTTAGGATTCAGAGTTTAGGGTTTAGGGTTTAGAGTTTAATTAGGGTTTGGGGTTTAGGGTTTAGGGTTTAGGGTTTAAGGCACTCTGCACACAGGGTTTGCGGGCTTGGGCTGCGAATCGGATTCGCCAGGCTCTACCACGCAAGGCCCCCCTGAACAACTAGACCAAGACGCGGAACTCCTCAGCGACCAAAGGGGTCCAAGTAACCCAATTATAAGTGTAGTTATAACCCACTTATAAGCCCCTTAAGTACCCGAGGGTTATAATTGGGTTACAAAGTGCAGTTATAACTGGGTTACGAAGTAACCTGAACCTCCACGTATGGATGCAAAATGCACTGGGCTACCCTTGTGACATTGATGTCTGCTAGAGGTGGCTATGTTTCCTAACACGTAATCCCAGACTGGGAGGGCCCCAACAGCAGCAAACACCCAAATAATGCCCTGTACAACTGCTGGGTCAGTCTTAGGGTTTAGGGTTTAGGGTTTTTAGGGTTTAGGGACAGACTTCGTGTACTTTTGGGATCCTCCCACAGGGATTGCAAGGTCTGCGAGGCCTCACATTTCAGGAGCGATTCCTGGGGGTAGCAGAAAGAACCCTGCAAAGGCCCAATCTAAGAAACCTTACAATCTCAGGCCATGGGTTGCCACCCTAAGCCCTAAACCCTTAACCCTAAACCCTAAACCCTAAACCCCTCGACCCCCCTGATACAGGATGCGGCTGCAGGCACATGGGTGGTGTCTCTATGGTCAGTGGAAGCATCACTGGACCAAATCTCGGCTCCTAGGCTTGTCTATGCAAGGAATGGGGTTTAGGGTTTTAAACAAAAGCGGGGAAAGTGTCTTGGGGAGGAGGGCTTGCGCGCTCAGCTTTTTGGCCTAATAGGGCCTAAAGCCCTTTTGCAAGCGGACTCGCTTAGCAGGCTGCAGACGCAGCCTAAAACCCTGCATGCGATACCTTACACCACAAAACCATATCCTTAACTCCTACACCTGAACCCTGCTGTGAATCTTGCTGTCTGCCGCCTGGGCTTAGGGACGGCAGCATCGGGGGGGGGGTGGGGGGGGG